TGAGGAGAGGGGCGAGGCGGGGAGGTGTGAGGAGCGGGCTGGTGAGGCCTGGGAGGGCGGATGAGGTGGGGAGGGTTGAGGGGAAGGCTGCTGGGTTCGGTGGAATGGGGAGGGGTAGCTTGGGAGTCCTGAGGGCTCGTGGGGTGGGCTTGCTGCCGCATGAGGGGATACGGAGGAGTGGGGTGAGTGGAGCGCCTCTGGGGGAGAGAGGCTGGCTGTGGAAAGGAGCGGCAGTTACTGCAGCTGGGCTCTCCCCGAGTCCTTCCCTTGCTACCGTCACTGCTCCTTTGGGCTCTTCCACTGAGAATAAAACGTGTTTAAAGTATATCTTGATGTGCCAACCTTGTGTTCCCTTCTCGCTTGGGGCACTCCTTTGCACCTCAGACCTTGATCCATGAGGCTGGCTTGTCTGGATAGTTGGGCAGTTCTGATTTGTCAGCTCAGCTGCCTGTTTAGCAGTTAAACTTGTAATTAGGATTTCAGATCGCCTTGTTTGGTGTCAAGAGTTCTCAGCCAAACTTGGCGCTCAGCCAGAACAACCAGAGAGGGAAAACTATAAAGTTGTAGGAATTAAAGGAAACAAAAGAAAGAGACCTCAGGCATAACCAGAGGTTAGCACTAGAGAAGACTAAAATTCTAAGTGCAGAATAGAGGAATTGGCTTAAAGTGCAAGCATTCCTGGTGTGCACCTTTTTAAATTCCTATATGACGGGTTTTTTTTTGGAGGGAATGGAGGACTGGTTTGGTGGGCAGTTTTTGTGTATGGCTTACTGTAATCATGAGTGTTCTTTTCAAGTTCACAGAAGAGGTATAGCTTATTTCTGTAATACTGTAGTAAGGATCTCCAAGTGATTATATTTAGTCAGCAGAATAGAATGACATTTTTATTTATTACCTTTACGTTTACCTATAAAGTGTTACATAGCATAATGAGTGATCTTAATAGCAATTAATTATTGGACTGTAAATAATAAAAAAGTGTTTCTTATATTTTCACCGTAAGACAAAAATTAGTGCTGTAAGTCTCGCATTGTCTTATTTTGATAGGGAGTTCAGAACTTCCTACAAATGTTTTTGTTTTTTTCTCTAACTTGTAACTTAAGTTTCAATTATATCTCCTTATTTACACTGAATTTAATCAGTGAAGTAAGAAGAGAGATAAAATTTGCATTTGATGTACCCAGTAGTTTTATTCAGGAGGTTTGTAAAGCTGTTGTGAATAGAACAGATTATTACAAATTCCAGTAAACTTTATGCTAGTGAAGGAGAAAAGCAGGCTAGATGTGTATGTTTGGACTCCAGCTCCCAAGATGCTACAGTTAACCTTAGGCTGGTGACTAGCAATCCCCCTTTAAGTCTTATCCTGAATCAAAACATAGGAAAAATAGTAAAATCCAACAGTAAGGGACAATCAGTTGGGTGGGGTTTTTTAAACACAATTATGGGAATATCAGGAGGTGGTTGGACTTATTAACTCTCAAGGGTAAGGAATTTAATTTGACACAGTTTGATTCTTTCTTTAATGAGGAAAATTCATAATTTTATCATACAATTAAGAAATGTAAGTTTTTACATAAGTTATAATACAGTACAACTACAAAGTACAGATGCTAGCATTAGAAAGATAAATATAAATACTGCTGTTTCACTAACTATACCTCGTAAAGTCAGTGCATCTCGATTTTGTATTATGAAATCTTTTAAAGTTAATGTGTTATCATGATTTCCAGTATGTGGCACTAATACCCAAGGTAGAGTTGTTTGAGGAAGAGGAATTAATTGCAGATGGGAAAAGCAGTTCAGAAAATTTCGAATTACAATGCCAGAGGATCTTCATTTAGCTCATGCTTGTACTTGTATTTGTAGTAATGGTTCATTGTAGTCATATGATAAATGACACTTTGAGCCAGATCCTGCTCTCTGCATAAGAGCTACTTCTGATTGATCTGCAAGCCAGAAACAAACATAGCATTCTGCTGCTTTATTTTTCTCCAGTATTTCTTCAACACAGAAGAATTCCCAGTGATGCCATCAGAAAATGTGTGCCGGGGTAAAGAGGCTTGTGGCTGTGTGAGGCATGGAGAGAGGGCGTGCCTGTGCTTGACTCATCTTTACTGCTCCAGTGGTTGATCGGGACCGATAGTAAGAACTGCAAGGTAATGTGCACTGGAAATCATGCTGGTATCTAGAAGTCTCAGGATTTGACAAACATAAGGAAATAAAGCCAAATCTGTGTAATCCTTAAGAAGCCTGGAGGATATAGGGAAGGAAATTTAGACTGACATGTAAGACCTGTCTTACTTTTCTCTGCCTTGCACTTTTATAGGCATTTACATCAGTGGAAAATGTGTAGAACATCATCACTGTGGTTTGATAACATTTTACAGTGACTTTGCTTTACAGCAGTGAGGATGACCCTACAAAGTTCAATGCACAAGAGAAATAGACTCCAGGCATCTTTTTTGAGCAGAGTCCAACCTTGCTTAAAGAGACACAAATCTAGGATTATTTCAGTGAATTCCTGCACATTATCCTATGTTTGCATAAGAGCAGGTGAAATCTAGAGTTTTGCCACCACTGTCCATAACGTCCACAAATACTTTTTTTTTTTAAGTATTTTTGCTTAGTTTCCTCAGAAGCAAGGATTATCAAACCAAAGTAGATAGAAAGAATGAATGTATTTTATCTAGGTTCCCACATTGGTACAAATGGCCATAGTATCTCAGCAGGAGTTGCAGGTATAGGTATAATGCAAACTATGTGCTTTTCATGGGAGTATCACGTACTGATTTACTGTATGTGACATTGTATATAATAACGCTAGAGTCAGGCATTAACATAAATTGTCCACAGGAATAAACAGAAGAATCATTTTAAAAGTGAGGCATGAATCAAGACTCCAAATGATGATGCTTACTAGTAGGCAAAAGTTAATTTAATCAGTGATAGTCTGGAGAATCTGAAGCTGATTATTGCTTTGAGGTTTTTAAAACTTCATTAAGATGTAATTGTTTCAAGCAAGTGCTTTCACCTTTCTGGTAATATAAAGCAGTGTAGAAAGTGATGTATATGTCAAGCCAAAACTGAACAGAATGATTTTTTTGCTTCTCAACAAGCTGCACTTCCCCATTGGGTGGCTGATGGCCTGTTGCTTTTGAACAGTGCCATACAACTGCCAGTCAATCTCCCAGACTGCAGTGCCAGCTTTTAGATGTGGCAGCAGACTGGCTGTGACAATGGGTTATTCATAATGTCTGTGTTCCTTCTTGTTTCTCGGTTGCAAAATGCACGTTAAAGGTTTTATTTTTCTTATTTTCAGAAGAGGTCTTAAATGTTTATGTGAACTAAAAAAGCGTCTGTAGATGAAAAAGCAAAATAATCAGTAACACTCATTCACTCAAGCACTTTGTATGACCTCTCAACTTTCCACTTTCTTTGCTAAAGTACTTAGGTACTTTGTCAATTTTAATACTTCTCTTCTTTACAGGGATGCTGTGACTATAAATATGCTATAATCCTCCTTCTGCAGAGAAAGAGCTAGAACACAAACTAAATGCTAAACCTCACTAAGGGGCCTCAACATTGCCACACCTGACCTTTAGGTTCTTACCTCAGACTGGAATTCAAGCGCTGAATTATGTTTCATATAAAACGCACTAAAGACAGACACCTTAAACCTGGATTTGCGACAGCATAAGCACTGTACAGGGTGTTTGGGCTTAGCGGTTGAAAATGCTGAGGAGCCAAGATATGTCTGAAACCTGCCTGTGACTCCAGCCAGGCAGTTATGGGGATATATGTTCCAAAATCTTTTGGAGCTGGTGTGTTTAACTTGTCCTTTTGTAAAAGACTCATGACTCGCTCTTACTTTAGAACATTATTGAAGGAAGAGGTGATGGTGCTTGCTGTTAATATACAGTCAACTTTCCATCACCAATAGATGGTCTGACTAGTTTTTGGAGAGGGGGAAGAAAAAAAAGAGAATGCATGCTGAGATTCTAGCTGACTGGCTGGAATAATAGCGGCTAGGATACACTGGAGAATGGGGAAAAAAGCCACATAATATTAGTGCCGCTTTATTGTTCTGAACTGTAAGTGGTTCCTGTGAAACCAAATTGGAGGACTCTGGACCACTTTTCTTGTTTAGCTCAGGCATAGTATGAATTCACAGAGCCAGATTAGGTCTGAAGGTGGTACAGCAACATTTGCCTGGAACTGGTTCAAAGGTAATAGATCTGCTGGGCTAAGCCAGCCCTGGCCAGATCTTAAGTGTGCCTATATTGCCCTTCTCAAATGAGTCTCTTGTGTGCATATGTCTCATTTGGTGCAGATCTGGCAGAACTTACTGTTTCAGGCTTAGTGCTTAGTCTGTAGTCACTCTGGATTCTTGCAGGGCTTATTTGCTGGGCCAAATCTGACCTGACTCAGTACCTCTCATCTGTAGAAACAAAGCTACTTACAGTTGGGAAGCCAGCTTAGCCTGATAAACAGAAGATCTTTGTGTCAGCTGAGCCTTACCATTATATGAGGCATTTTGATCCTCTGCACTTCCTACTGCTAGAATGGCAATTTGGCTATAATAGCTGAGCAGGTAGCGTGGAGCACAGATCTCCTGTTTCTTGGTCAGATGCTCTGTCTTCAGCCTCGCAAGGTTAAAATTCCTATTCCCAACTTTCCAGGAGAGTGCTGTGTTGCCTCACTAGCAGTTTCAAACTGCGATACCATGCA